GGCCTAGGGCTGCGTGCCCTCTGGTTGTGGCCTCCCCTGGCATAGGGGATCTGGGGGCAGGGGTGCAGGCCCCCTGGGGGGAGGGGCAAGCTGTTCCTGGTCTGATGAGTGTGCAGGGCATACCTTGGACTGAACTGACCCCAGCCATCCTGCAGCCTCCGGGGCCCCTGCGGCTTCACCCCAGTGCCCGCTGTCCTGGTTACGTAGAGAGGCTGGAGCCAGAGGTCCCTCAGCAGCTCCCAGGCCTGTGCCTCCACCGAGGGTCAGTGGAGACTGGCTGGGGAGTCCCAGAGGCCCCCTCCATGGGTTCTGGCCACAGGGACTACCCCTGCTCAGAGTCTGCTGAGAATGGCCTCCATCACCTGCCATGCTAGGGGGCCCCTGCAGGTCTGCCCCATGCTGGCTCCTGGCCCCAAGCGCAGAGGCCTCCAACTCGGACTTCCGGGGACTCACTTCCTGCCTGGATCCCCCCTCACCCTCCAGCTGCCCAGCTGGGCCTGGCACCAGAGCTGGCCAAGGGAACACCAGTCACGCCAGGCACTTGCAGCCAGTGAGAGATGCTACCTGCACCTCCCAGGCCTCTCCTGGCCTCACTGCCCTTTGTTGTCCCTGGACTTGCGCAGCCCCTGCCTGCAGACGCCTGCATCTGTGGGACCACCCCCTGCCACGCTGACCTGGACAGCCTCGTGCTGGAACTTCTCCAAGGCCAGGCCTGCCCAGAACCATAGGCGGACCCTCAGGCCACCCTTTCAGAGAACAGTCTCATCAGCGCTTCAGTCAAGAGACACACTCAGAGAGAAGGTGACTTGCTGAAGGCCACACGGCAGGACAGGTCTGAGCCCGCACTGTTTCCTGGCTGGCTGCCTCTTGGTTTTGAAACACCTTCCAAAGTAACTTGCAGAGACATTGTAAGAATAACATACTATTTCCCAGTAGTCTCCACCCAGTGCCCGATTATTAACATTTTGCCACATGCGCTTTCTCATATTCTTACTCTATTTTTTTCCTGAAGAATTTCAGAGTCAGTTGCGCCTACCTTTACCCCTAAAATGTTTTGTGTGCACTCTCTAAGGACAAGGACAGTAACTTACATAACTACAGTGTAGTGACCAAAATTGGGCCTTGAACATCAATGTGATGCTCTCATCCAGTCCGCCGACCTCGTCCCACGGCGTCCAGGAACGCCTCCTGCGGTGACGTCGCACGTCGCAGGGCTGGTCTCCTGCGTCCTGTTGCAGGTGTCTTTCACCACACGGACGCTTTCGAGGTGCAGCTGGTTACTGGGAGGAGCAGCCTGGTTTGGGTTTGATGGTTCTCGTGTGGCCCACCGTGGCCCCCCTGCCAGCCCTGGTGGAAATTTGCGCAGCTGCACAGGGGGTCAGCTCCTCTGCCCATCCCTCCCCCGCTGGGCCTGCTGCCCTGGACCCATTGGGTGCCTGCTGTGCCTTTCTGCTCCGAGGCTGGGAGGTCAGAGGTCAGAGTAGACGGGAGGTTCCTGAAGCCAAACCACAGGTCCTGACCTACACAGGGAACATGGCTGTGATGGCTGCATAGTGGGAAGAGCCCAGCGTCCCTGCCAGCGAGGGAGGGGCCCCACCCTCATCCCGAGAGGTGGGGAATAAGCAGCAGTGGCCTGCAGCCGCTGGGTCCCAGCCAAGGGGTGTCCTGAGTGGGGTCAAAGGGCATGTTTGCTTTAGAGAGCTCCTCACCACCACCCCTTCTAGGCAGCCTCAGAAACTGTGGAGGAAGCATTGTTCTTTTGGTGCTTCCAGCCCCGGGAGAGAGGGGCCTCAGGGAGCTCACAGACAGCTGTAGGGGCAGGAACAGCCAGGTCGGGGCAGAGGCTGGGCTCAAGTGTAGGCACAGTGACCTCTCAGCAGGAGAGGCCCTCCCTGACCTGCCAGATTGTGATTTAGGACACTCAGTCCTTGGTCCCTCTGGGGACTTGGTCCTTAGCCCCCACACGAGCTGAGGGACAAGAGTCTGCCCAACTAGCTGTCAGGCTGTGGACATTGTGTATCCTTGCTGTTAATGTTGGTGGCCATATCTGCTGTGACCCAGTGTCCAGGGAATGGCCACTCCCAGGGGAGGATGTGGCCTGAGCAAAGACACAGGCAGGACCTTCAGGGTTCCTTTGTGGATTGCAATGGAGCAGAGCAGCTCTGCCTGGTGGCCTCAGCATGGCTCCCTCTAGCTGCCTGAACCCAGCAGCCCCTGCTCTGCCCATCCCTGGCCAGGACGCCAGGAAGGCCTCTCCCTGGAGGCAAGAGTGGGCCCAGGTGCTCCCACCCACCGGTGGGATGGCTCCTCATAGAGGCCCCCCAAGCACTACACCAAAAACGAACTGAAGCGTCTGTGTGCTGCTTGTCAAGGCCATGTCTTCGGCTAGCGGGCGGGAGATCACTTGGCATGAGGGTGCCCGTCCAGGGCCTGCTGTGTGAACACCGCCTGCTACTGGAGGAACAGCCAGGTTTCACTGACCCCCTCAGTGAGAGGGTTCTTGCCTGGCCCTGGTCTTCACCTGCCGGGAGAGGTGAGACGTGCTGACTGGGATGTGGTCACTCTAATGACACGATGGTGCCCTCTGCACAGGTCTCCCTCAGGGAGCCCTCTCCCTCCTGGGCCATACACGACTGTCAGTGCTTGGTCTGGCAAAGGGTCCACTTGGCTCAGCTTTGACGAGTTATTCTTTTGTTATTATTAACGACTTTATTGAGACATATCATACACATAAAATTCACCCATTTTGAGTGCACAATTCAACGATTTTTAGCAACTTTGCCAAGTGTTATGACCACTACACCTCTGGAACATTTTCATTACCCCAAAAAGAACCATGTAAACAGTAAGCAGTCATTGCCCTGTTGCCCCTCCGCCGGTCTGGCAACCACTCACCTGCCATCTCTGTGGATGTGTCCATTCTGGGTATTTTATGTGAAAGGACGCGTACAGTATGTGTGTTTTCAAAGTTCGTTTGTGTATCACTACCTCATACCTTTTATGCATGAGTCACAGCCGCTACCGCCTGGGCATTCTGCATGTCCATCCATCTGTGCATCCACCGATGGCACGCTCGCCGCGCCACCCTGGGCTCCTGGGAGCGGTGCTGCTGTGGACACGCATGGACCAAATCGCTGCGTCATATGGCGCTGCTATGCACGACCTTTTGAGTTACTCATTTTTTTTTTTTTTTTTTTTTTGAGACAGAGTCTCCTTTTGCCCGGGCTAGAGTGAGTGCTGTGGCGTCATCCTAGCTCACAGCAATCTCAAACTCCTGGGCTCAAGCGATCCTTCTGCCTCAGCCTCCCGAGTAGCTGGGACTACAGGCATGTGCCACCACGCCCAGCTAATTTTTTCTGTATATTTTTAGTTGTCTGATTAATTTCTTTCTATTTTTAGTAGAGACGGGGTCTCGCTCGTGCTCAGGCTGGTTTCGAACTCCTCCTGAACTCAAACAATCCGCCCGCCTCGGCCTCCCAGAGAGCTAGGATTACAGGCGTGAGCCACCGCGCCCGGCCAGTGAGTTACTCATTCTTAATCACATGTGTGAATATGTTCTCATAAAAAACGTTACCAATGAAGAGACCCACCCCCACCCCAGGGGAGGCGGTGCCGCCACCTTAGAGGACCCGTCCAGACCTCCCCGTGCTCGCATCTCCGTCGCCCGCGCGCCGGTCTGCACCGAGCCGGTCTGCTGGTCTCTAGCAACTCCAGGAGAGCGAGCAGCGGGGCCTGCCGTGCGCGGCGGGCATCCCCGGTCCGGCCGGGGCTGCGACGCCGCGTCCAGCTCACCATGTCCGCCAGCCCGGCCCCGCTCACTCGCCGCTGCCCTGGCGAAGCCACCGGCGCTGGAACCTCAGCGCCTCCACGGCCCTGGGGAACCCGCCCCGGTCACTGCTCCGAGCACCGTCTCCGCCCCGTCACTACCCCCACCCCCAATCACTGCCCGGGTCACCGACCCCAGTCACTGCTCGCAGCCCCGCCCCCGCCCCCGCCCCCTCCGGCCCAGTTCCCCGCTGCCGCCATCCGGGGCCACTGCCCCGCCCTCTGTCCCTGCCTCGCCCCGCCCCCTGGCGGAAGTCCCGCCTCCTCCGCCTAGCCGAGCGCCGATTGGCCGTCCCGTCCCAGGGAGGACGCGCGAGGAACCCCCAAGCTACCTTCCCAGAGTCGCTGCAAAGGCAGTCGCCGCAGCTTGCTAGGAGCTTTAATCCCCCTGGACTCGGCTGCGTCGCCTCAGCTCGGAGACCGCCGCTGCCTGTTCCGCGCCCGGGGAGGGAAGAGAGCGTTTGCAAACAACCTGGAGCTCCAAGCTCCTGATTGGTGAGAGTGTAGGAAACGGGGCGGGAGGCACGGGGCCAGGAGGGTGGGGTTAGCGGAGCTGTGATCGACGTACAGCCGGTCCAATGGCTCGGCAGCGGTGGCCAATGGAGACGCTGAGGGGGCGGACGAGGGCAGAGCTGTTGTGGACCTGTGGGCTGGGTTGCCTGTGGCTCTGGGATGCTCTGCGGGAAGAAGCGGTGAGGGGCTGTAGTAATGCTGATGGACGTGCAGGCGGGCCAATGGTTCCGAGAAAGTGGGAGGCGAGTGCCCAATGGCGACGGTGACGATGCAGCGCTTCTGTAGTCTCCGCAACGCTGTGTGGGAAACGCGGGGGGGGGGGTCGGAGTGGTCGTGACGGACGGGCGGACGGGCCAATGGCCATGGGAAAGAGGGGAGCGGGCGACCTATGGCGATGGCGAGGAGGCATGGCGGGGCGACCGGAGGTTCCGCCGCGCCGCTGGGGGAGACGGCGGGGGCGGGGCGGGCGTGACGGACGGGAGAACGAGCCAATGGGCCGGGGAGGGCGGGCGGCCAATGGCGGCGGCGCGGCCGGGGGCGGGGCGGCGCGGCGGCCAGGCGCCGTGCGGGAAGCGGCGGGGCGGCGACGGCGGC